AGTGAAGGGAAGAAGGAAATATTTGCAAATAAAAGTGATGTAAAAAACAAAAAAAATCAATAAATTAAAAGTGACAAAAGGAGTCCTTTCTAATATCATTTCCCTCCAGAATCATATTTTTTTTCTGTTCATGAGGAATTAGTGACAGATTTGAAGTTATGATGGGACGTTTTTCAGTCAATTCTAGACTTGATTTTAATTAGTTGAAAATTAAAAAAAACCTCTCATTACTATCTAAGGAAAAGGAGTGGCCTTACTCAGAGTTGGCATATCTGGAACTCTGTGGGGAATGACATGAGGGGAAAAAGAGAGGACTCTTGACACAAAATAACTCTTCTACAATGTCATGGAGGTGATAGTAGGGAGTATTTTTTTGAGGGGAAGGATGCTTTGGCTAATAGTATAAATACACTTGGGAACCATAAAACATTAAACAGAGCTATTTACAGCAAACATTTTGTTCTCTCTCCTAGATAGTTAACCTGAGCTTGATGAGTTTAATTTATGGAGGGCATCTAGGTGCTCTCTGACCATTTTTCACTTATCTTGAGTTTAACTCCCTTTGAACTACTTCTGTTCACTTTTCAGTATGAAATATGCTTTTATTGGTCAAAACTAGAATTAAAGAGTTAAATAACTGAGTTTTCTGAAATTTTACAATCTTTCCATTCATTTTAAGCAGTAGTCTTTTTCCTTCTTTGATTTTTCTATGACCTACAAAAAAAGCTTAAAAATACTAAAAACTTTCAATATTTCCTTAGGTTTCACTTCCAACATATTTATTCAGATTTATAATGTTACTAAATTTTATCTTTCTAGGGCCAAAAAAAGCTGTTTTGAAGTAATTCTCAACCACTGTCTCTCCTTCCACCTTTTACAATAACATTTTAAAAATCAAAGCTGGTCAAAAAAATTCCCCATAAATCCATACATATCTCTCTCTCTTTTTTTTTTTAGAAAGTGCTTTCTTCTGTATTGGAAACACTTTTGCTTGTGTTATGTGAATTTTGTTCTTAAGAGCTTCCCATCACTTGGGCTATAGAGTTCTAGGTTATAGGAACTTTTTATAATCTTTCCAAAAGTATAGATTATGGGTTATACTATTCCTGCCTTTACTCTCTTTATAATGAACTCTAAATTGTAGTAGTCACTCCTTCTACCAGCTCCTTTTTATTAATTAGATTTTGGTCTAAAATAGAATTTTTGGCTTCAGTCATCCTGTAGAGAAGAATTTCTGTGGGAGAGAGGGTGGTATTTGATCTTTTCCTGGTCTTGAAAGCAAACTAAGTAGGTACCTGATACTTTACCTCTCTGTAATGATTAAGACAGGGTACTGCAATGGAGAACTGAAGAGATGAAGAAACTATGAAGAAAACAAGACCCTAAGGTATATGGGTGAAACAGCGCCAAGAGGTAATGATAACGACAAATTTCAACTCTCTGTCATATATATTATCTTTTATGCTTTATTCCTGTAAAGTGATTAATGAATGACTATCATTTTGTCTATTCCTCATAAAACTCTATTAGCTAAGTAATGAACAATTAAGCTAAATAATAGTAAGCTTTGAGGTTTACAGAATTCTTTATAATGAAATGAGGTAGGCGATGCAGGTGTAATCCACACTTTACAAATGAAAAAAAAAACAGCAAAAAAAAAAAAAAAACCCGAACAAACAAAACTGAAGTTCCAAGAGAGTTAAGCAAGTTGCCTGAGGTCAAACAACTAGTTACTTAGCTAGATCAATACTTGATCCCAGATTTTTTGATTCCAGGTCCAATGGTCTTTCCATTACAACATATTCCTTCAAATGAGAGTTAGGAAAGGTGGGGTAGTAAGCCTTATATTACAATTATATCCAGGCTTGACTTGATTTTTACTCCAGTGATATCATCTCTCTCTCTCTAAAATTTGTTAAGTACTATTGCCTGATATAAAGAATATTTCTAATGTTATCCATAGGTAATTATGGATATTCTACAAAATGTATTTTAGTATGTTAAATAATTGTAAACTTTTGAAATATATTTGTTAGAATATATTCCACATTTTTGCTTTTTCTTTTTTATTGTTAAAGATTTTGAATTTGAAGTACATGAAGTAGTTTATGATGTAAAAGGAAAAAAAAAACTGTTTTAAAATGTAATCAAAAACATTTGAAAGTTGCTGTAAATCTCAATCTCCCTGCACAAAGCTCCTGTCAGGAATTAGTAGTGGTTCTACATAAAGGAAGATTTTTTTTTACCTACTCTGAAAACCTTCAATTCCATGCACTTAAAGTTTCCTATCATGCATAGATGGTGAGCAATGAAGGAAGCATGAAACTTCAAGACTATAACTCACAGAGCTGGCAAACAGAAAGCCATTAGGCATAATCAGTGGTCTGGTTCATCAGAAAGAAATGGAAAAAGTGAGTACAAGATTGTGAATTCTGATGTTCAGTGGATTTGGGTACCTGAAAGGGCCATGCAGGAAGAGTGATTAATGGCGATAAAATTCACTTTCTTTTATTTTTTTAAATATTTTACAAAGTATACTTGATTTTTTAATAAAAATAATAATTGGTCTTTGGATATTAAGTAATTATTAGGGAAGCACCTGCATAATGACTGGTAAGTAAAACTTTTCCTTTTTATTTGAACAGTTTCCAAAATAGATGGCATGATTTCCTAGATATACCAACATTCCAGGGAATAAGATGTGAATTCCTGATAAAATACAAGAATATAATTATAAACAAGTACAGAAAATATCAGCAAAATGACTCTTGCATAGATTTAATGCCACAAATAGTTCTTACCCAAATTTACTTAGAATTAGATAAAAATCAATGTAAAAAATACCCCCTTAGATTAAAGTAGAAAGTCCAGAACTGAATCCTAGAAGATTTAACTGAAAACTCTATGAATTCTAGAACAATAGAAGTAGAAAGTGCTAGTTTTCTTTTAATATCAGTATTAGATACAAAGAAGGAGTAATTATCACAAGCTCTCCCATATCAAATAAGCTGTTGAGAAATATGCCTATCTCAATAAGGAAGAATCGGAATAAAAAGTGAACTTACTAACTTAAATTCTGATAAACAATAAATTATACTTTTGAAATTTTAGAAGACAACCACCAGATAAGGTACCTTTCCCAGCTATGGCTGGAGGGAAAATTATTAACCAAAATGTAACACAAAGGCAGTCACCAAGCATAAAGAAAGATGATTTTTCTTATAACAAACTGTAAAACTTTTATGTAAATAAATTTAATACAACTAGAATAAGAAAGAAAGTAGTCAACTGGTGAAAAAAATAACAAAGCTCTCTGACAGGAGTCTAATATCGAAGATATATAGGCAACTAAAGAAAATATGTAAGACCAAAAATGATTATTTTGATTAACATATGAATAAACAGTTCTTGCAAAAATAAGTACAAACTATTACTAAGCATATCACAACTAATGCTTCAGATCATTACTAATAAGAGCAATTAAATCAAAACATCCCTGAAATTTCACTATTTACTATATTTACCAATCAAATTGGTAAGGATGAGAAAAGATAGGAATAGTAAATGTTGAAGGGGCTGTGGAAAGATGGGTACACTAATATGCTGCTGGGGGAGTTAGGAACTGGTCTAAAGTTAAACACTCTACAAAGTAATTTTGAATTATGCTAAAAAAGTAACTAAAATGCCCACACCCCAAGACCCAGAAATCCTATTGTTAGGCATATAAAGTAAAGAGGTCAATGAAAAAATGAACAGTCTCATATATGGCAAAATATGTACAGCAACACTCTTCAAAGAAGTAAGGAAATTGAAGCAAAGTAGATGCCCATGACTTGAGGAATGACTAAGGATTAATATAATTGAATATCATTGTGCTATAGTAAACAATGAATGTAATGAATATAGTGAAGCATGAGAAGAATTATATGAAATTATTGGAAGTGAAGTAAGCAGACCCAGGAACAATAGCAGTATAAATTGAAAGAACAAGAACAAAACAAGAAAAAGTGAAGACTGAGAAATTAAAATGACCAGGGATATATGTGATGTATAAGGCATAAAGGCACTCTTTGAGAATGCACATCCTTCCCTTATTTGCTGAGGTGGGAGACTTTGGGTATAGAAAACTGCATAAATAGCCAAACTTGGTTGAGGTGGGGGTTAGTAGTGATGAACTATTTTTTTTTCTTTTCCTCTTTTTTAATTCTTTATTATAAGGATGCCTGTCTGACATGGAGGAAAAAGGGAAATATTATGGAATGTAAATAGTATTAAAAAGAAACGTAACAAAATATAAAGGAAAAAAGTCTGTCCACTTATCACATCTCACACTTTAACATGTAACTCCTCTCTTTTTTTTTTTTAAGACTGACATAATGACTGCATATGTTGAACACTGACTCCACAAACTTACTTACTTAACTGTCATACTAGACAGATGCCCATTTTATTGTCATTCAGTTGTTTCAGTCATGTCCAATTCTTTGTGACCCCATTTGTGATTTTCTTGGCAAAAATACTAGAGTGTTTGCCATTTCCTTCTTTAGCTTATTTAACAGATGAACAATTGAGGCAAACAAGGTTACGTGACTTGCCCAGGATCACATAGCTAGTAAGTGTCTGGGGCCAGATTTGAACTCAGGAAGGTATCTTCTGACTCCAGGCTCATCCAGCTGCCTTCTAGATGCCCATACAAATCCTATGTGATATCTGTAAACCAAAATGTGTGCCAGAAGAATCTGGGAACCATGAGTCCATTCTTGCACTATGATTTTCCTTTTGCCTAATTAGGTGAATGGTTCTACAAAGGCAGGCTGAGCAGTAAAATAGAAACAAAAACAATACTATAAGTATATATCCTACAAAACTGTAGGGAAGAAATTTCTGCATCCATTAATTTTCTTTTACAGAACAAAAATGATCTACTTTGGAAAATAAATTATGTTTATGTAAAAGGACTATAACAATCTAGGGATAAAAATAGTGTAAGTTTTACATACATGTTCCAGGTAGAAACATCAAATCAAGCCACTGGACCGGGCACTGTGCTGTATTTCTCTTCTTGAAGGAAACCTATAAAGGGTATAAAAGAAACACAGGAAAAAAGGGGAAGATTAGATTTCCATAAAGGAAATAAGAGAAAAATATGAGACAGTAAATCCTTTATAATATAACACTTGCAAATCAGAATAACAAAGAGGGGCCAATAAAAGGTAATTCAATGAAAAAGACCTGGAGAACACTTGTAATTGATAGCAATCACAGTTTGCAAAGTGTTTTACTTACGTTAAATCATTTTGATCCTTACAACAACCCTGTGATGTAGGCCCTCTTATTATCCCCAATTTACAGATGAGGAAACTGAGGCACACAGACTCATCCAGGGTTACACAGTGTTTGAGATAGGATTAGAAATCAGGTCTTCCTGATTCTAAGCCCTGAATTCAGTTGCCCCCAAACTTTCGCTATTGATGTATAAGGTAGAAATTGATATAATCATAGAATCTTAAACTTGACAGGGAACTTAGAGGGCATCTAATCCAAAATCTACCTACTTAAATGTGTGATGCAGTGGATCTAGCACTGGACCTGGAGTCAGAAAGACCTGAATACAAATCTGGCATCAGACACTTACTAGCTGTGTGATTCTGGCCAAGTAACTTAATCCTCTCTCTTCTTCAGTAGTTTTCTCAGCTATAAAATAGGGATAATAATTGCACCTGCCCCTCAGGGTTGTTGTGAAGATAAAATTAGATAATTTTTAAAGTGCTTAGCCCAGTGTCTGGCACATAACAGACATTGACAAATGCCTTTTTCCTTTTTTCCTCCCTCTCTTTATCTCCTCCCTCCCTCTTTCCTTCCCTCCTTTTCTTCTTTTCTTCCTTTTCCTTGAACATTTTGAATGACTAATTAATGGAAGTAGAGCACAGTAAAGGGCAGGTAGTGTGAAGAATAAATGACTATGTTAATGTTGTCTAGAGACAGAACAAGGTGGATTTTCCCCCAGGACAGATTATGGCCACAAACCCCATGAAAGTTTCTGTAGAGGAAAAAGAAAAATTCAGTATGTGGTTACTAAGGGCTGTAGCAAAAACCATGTTTTACATCCTATCCAAAGATAATTGCCAAATTTTATGATTCCTACAGCAAGTCCTAGATAAGAGTTAAACTAAAACTAGCTTAGACCAAGACATCTTGTGCCTGTCAGATTTACTGATTTACTAACTGCTTATAATTCATTAGTTTACTATGCTATTTGCATATTTATAAATGTTATCCTTCCTTCCATAATGATTCATGTCCAAAAACAGAAGAAAGAATGGAAAATATCAAAAGAGAAAAATATTTCAGTGTCATCTATGAAGTGGGGATACAATACAAAGATATATGAGCCTTCCAACGATTAGTGTCAGTCAATGCATTACTTAAAGAAAAGGATATGATCATCTCACCTCTGGGATTATATAAATGCCTTTATATGGTGGGGTTGGGCTTGATCATCTCTCTAAGATCTTGTCTAGGCAGGGGCATTTAAAAAAAAAACTTGAAAAGATGACTTCTCTCTCCCCAAGCCAGTAACATCTATTTTAAAAGCTGTTCTCATTTAGAAATTGCCTTTCATTACAAGTTTGTTATGTTCTGTATCGTATTAAGGGTTGTTTTGGGACTTAAGGGAAAAAATTGCTTAACTAAGCAGTTCTGGCTACTAGATTCTGTAGGACAGAAACCATTTTCCAAACAACAGTCATGTGTCAAAACAATAGGAGCCGTTTTAGGGAGCTAAGTCTGGATTCAGTGGTATGCAGATGTAGTCACACTTGCAATCAACATCAATGCAAGATAAAAAAAAATGCTTATTACCATGAAATTTTACTTTTACTTGAGCTGAAAGCAAAAGACAGGAAATGATGCCAACATATTAAATCAAAACAAAGCAACTATAAAAACAAAAACAAAATCCAAAGCACCTTAGATGTCCAAATAGGGGAAAATTTGGACAAAGCCCTTTGAGAATGAGTAACACGTGAAATGAGATAAGTGAATTATTTATTTCTAAAGTATTATAGGGTCACCTTATCTCTTACTTTTTGCTATATGTATCTGTAAGATTGAATTATAAACTTTTTAGTCTTAATGCATATTAGTTGAAACACTTGATTCATTACCCAGGGTTCAAGGTTGAGGAGGAAAAATGAAGACTGTGAGATGAGTAAGAATAAGTGTCAGGAACACACAATTTTAGTATATGAAAAATATGGCTGCATAAAACTGGTGAAACATATTACATAAAGGAATTCCTTCAATAACAATTCCCTAGCCTTCACAAGTATTGCCAGAATGTTTATTATTAGATAGAAAGGCTGAAAGGAGGGAAGGGAATCTTACTATACTGAAAATGTTAGAGGTCAGTGCTAGTTAGTAATCAGAAATGACAAGCACTTAGCTTTCAAATTAAATATGTCTAGCATAAAAGAGGGTTTGATGAGGGTTAGTTACATCATTTCTGAGCTCATCTTGGTGATAAAAAGAGATAATCTATGTAAAATACTTTGTAAATCTTAAAGTGTTGTATAAATGCTAGTTATTATTAAAAAGAGATACCTTTCTAATAAGGTCTTTTAAAATTTAACTGAGGAAAAAACCCTTGTAAAAATTACTCAGAAGTACTCTCTGGCTCCCCAAAAAAATCACTCCATGCAGTAAACATATCTGGATTTCAGCATGACTTTTCAACTTAGGATCACCACACACACACACACACACACACACACACACACACACACACACACACAGATGACCATAGCAAGATTTAGCAAGCATTAGCACAAGTACTATCTATTTTGTCATTCATATACCATATTTGAAGTATACATCATAATTACATTTTTAAACATTCTCCTAACACACAGGAAGTCTTGTCATTGGTACTTGCTCAGACAAGAGAGTCCATCACTTTATACTCTTCCACATTTCACTTACTCTGAACCCCCATGTCTTCCATTAATGAACATAATTGACAACTTTATTCTAATCTCACAATGGGGAAAAGGCTAAGAATAAAAATTATTTACTTGTTAGGAGTCTGTGAGAAAGTTTTATTTGAAAATTTTAAATGAAATAACAAATGAACATTGCCCAGTATCACTTCTATCTACTGAACTTTTAAAACTAACACACACACACACACACACACACACACACACACACACACACACATACATTAATCAAAACAACAGCAGGAGTATAACACAACTTACCTCAAGAGGACAATTGGCACCTAATTTTTCAAATCTCAAGGTCCTAATCATGGCCTAAAATCATAACACATTAGTCCTTCAATCCATGTAGATTTTTTTTTCCATGTTTGCAACCTTTACCTGCCTAATCTCAAAACTCATCTTCATTTAAGGTATGGTAACTGCCTTTATGACACCACATTATCTAATTTATCCATTTTAATTATTTAGCACTGATACCTATTTGCCTGACCATGCACTAGCCAACTGTTCCCCAATAACCTGGTCTTCACTCTAATGACCTATGTCAGCCCCTAGGTGTAGTTTCATCCAGAGTCTTAAATCTTGACTGTCTTCATGGCCTAAAGTAAGGTCTACACCCTCACGTAGGCATTTCCAAACCCATTCTGGTCATGTCACTGCATTCATCCAATCCTGAAAATATAGCCAATCCAACCACCATCTAGTGTAACAAAACATCTATTAATCAATACTATTTCGGTTTTCAACAAGTACCAGATTCACCATCTCACATCTCTCCAACTTGTCTAAAACAATATGAAAAGAGCCCCTGTCAATTGCTTTGCTGGAACCCAGATATACTCTACCTATAACATTCAATCAAGCTACCAAACTAGCACCTTAAAAGAAAAGATGGAAATGAAGTTAGTGTTATAATGTTGATGATTCCTGAACCTATGTGAGCCACCTAGTGATAGTTTTAAATATTGTCCAGTTTAACCTTTTCAGAGCAGAGAAAGGAGAAAGAATATAATATTAGCTACAAAGAGGTCAGAATAAAGCCTGTACATTCTAAAAATTAGAGAAAATCCTTTTTGAAAATTTTTTTTTGGTAAAATTCAGAAACTACCATCACTCCTGTCAAAAAGTTATCAAAACTAAGACTGGTCAACTAATGATTTGTATAAACATTTTAAGATCTTTTAGAGTCTAATAGAAGTGAAGGAATATGACTAACCATTTCTGATTAAAGACCAGTACACATTATATCCAACACATCCAATTGCTAGATGATCTAATAAAGACTATAACTTATTTATTCCAACCTTGACCTTCAATAATTTTATCAGGCTTGGAGGAATATTCCTGTCACCCTGTTATACTTGGACTGTTCACTATCAACCACTTTATTTGGTAGTTCACTTAAAATTTGTCCAGACTTCAAAAATAGAAACAAGGTCTCTTACTATTCCTCATGGACTTATTGAAGCGCAATATGATAAGCATTTATAAAGAATCTACCATATGCAGAAAATTGTATTAGGTACTGGGGGAGAAACACAATGACTCTAAAAAATCCCAAGGTATAGCATTTTCATATAATTTTCCCTCTTACTCTGTATGAAAGATATTTAACCCCCTAACCTGAAAGAAAATAATTGAAACCTAAATAGAAACATCACTATTTAATTTAACTGCAAATTACCTTTGTCTTTCTCTAAACCCCACAAAGCTCCAATTAGAAAATCTTTTCCATCTAAGTTTGGTAGGAATAATCTTACCAAGGAAGAAAGTTTATATCTAGATTCCAAATAACTTTACTAATGATTATTATGGAATGCTGTGGAATTCCACATTCTTTACTTGGTATCAGCAGGAATCTCAAAGATTAATAAATATTTCAAGGATGGTAGAAGATAAGGAAAGAGACAGACAATTCCTCTTCCTTCATCTTTGTGCATAATTCTCTGTCCCATTCTTACCTTATTATTTGCTGCCATTGATATTTATTATCACATCAGCACAGGGGTCAGTCAATATAAGAATATCAATCAAGGTCTGGAATTTTAAATAAGGCAAAAACAAACAGGTTGT